CCTTTTCATATTTCTCCTTCAGCTTAGCAGCCTTCTTTTCATAAGGCTGCTTGTCATCTGCAGCAGTGTTATTCCACATCTCTCCCAGCTTCTTTGCAACGTCACCAATGGATAGGCCAGGATGCTCTCCTTTGATTTTTGGGCGATACTCAGAACAAAACAAGAAAAAGGCCGAAGGAGGCCTCTTGGGTGCATTGGGATCCTTGAATTTCTTTTTTGTTTCCCCTTTAGGAGGAATATAAGTTTTCATTTCTCTCTCATAACGAGCCTTGTCCGCCTTTGCCATGTCTTCAAATTTTCCTTTCTCCTTAGCAGACATGGTCTTCCACCTCTCTGAGCACTTCTTAGAAAACTCTGAGAAGTTGACTGAAGCATCTGGGTGCTTCTTCTTGTGTTCCTCCCGGCAAGTTTGCAGAAAGAAGGCATACGATGACATTTTGCCTCTCGGCTTCTTAGGATCTCCTTTGCCCATGTGTAATTACTTCCCTTCAGCAAGCACACAGTCACCCAGTGCCCTGCCGGCTCGCACCTGCCCCAGCGCTGTCTCTATGGAGCTCAATGTACTGCAATGGCTGTCGAACCCACAATCTTTTGGTGTATGGGATGATGCTCCAACCAACTGAGCAACCTGGTCAGGGGAAAGAGAGAATCTTAAAAGCAGCAAGAGTAAAGCAGTTAATTACCTACAGGGGAGCTCCCATAAGACTGTCAGCTGATTTCTCAAAAGAAATTTTGCAGGCCAGAAGGGATTGACAGGAATCATTCAAGTTATGAAAGCAAGGACACACAACCAAGATTATTCTACCCAGCAAAGCTATCATTTAGAATCAAAGGACAGAAAAAGAGCTTTCCAGACAAGAAAAAACTAAAGGAGTTCATCACCACCAAACCTGTATTACAAGAAATGTTAAAGGGTAGTCTTTAATAATAGTGATAATAATAATAATAATGTGGCAGTAAATACATATCTATCAACAATTACTTCAAATGCAAATGGATTAAATAATTAAAGGATTAAATAATTAAATCAAAAGACATATCTTGACTGAATGGATAACAAAACAATACTCTTATACATGCTAAATATAGAGACACATTTCAGATCAAAAGACACAAACTAGCCCAGCCAGTGTGGCTCAGTGGTTGAGCATCTACCTATGAACTAGGAGGTCATGGTTGATTCCCAGTTGGAGCACATGCCTGGGTTTCAGGCTCGATCACCAGTGCAGGAGGCAACCGATTGATGATTCTCTCTCATCATTGATGTTTCTATCTTTTTCTCCCTCTCTCTTCCTCTCTGAAATCAATAAAAAAAAATATATTTTTAAAAAGACACAAACTGAAAGTAAAGAGATGTTAAAGATATTTCATGAAAATGGAAATGGAAAAAAGAAAGTAAGCTTCAGTAAACAATACTTATACCAGACAAAATATACTTTTAAACAAAGGCTATAGCAGGAGATGGAGGAGAATCCAGCAATTCTACTTCTGGGTATTTATTCCAAGAAACCCAAAACACTGAATAAAAAAGACATGCACCCATATGTTCATTGCAGCATTATTTACAATAGCCAAGGTATGGGACCAATCTAAGTGTCCATCAATAGATGAATGGATAAAGAAGTGGTGCATATATACAATGGAATATTACTCAACCAAAAAAAGGATAATATCCTGCCATTTGCAACAACATGAATTGACCTAGAAGGTATTGTGCTGAGGGAAATAAGTCAGAGAAAGACAAATACCACATGATTTCACTTATATGTGGAATCTATACAACAATCAAACAAGCAGACCAGAAACCCAGTCATAGATACAGAGAACATTTTGAGTTGCCAGATAGGAGGGAGTTTAGGGGTAGGTGAGTGGGTAAAAAAGGCAAAGGGATTAAGAAGTACAAACTGGGACTCCACCAAGATGGCGGCATAGGTAAACACCGGAGACTGCTGCCGCAAACAACCACTTCAAAAATACAACTAAAAGACGGAACGGACATCACCCAGAACCACAGGAAGGCTGGCTGAGGAGAGACTCTTCAACTAGAAGGAAAAATAACAGCACACCGAGGCTCAGAGGAGGCGCAGTGTGGAAAAAACTCAGGTGCGGAGGTGCGCGCGCAAAGCGGGCTGGTGGCTGAGAGCGCGGTTGTCGTTTTCGGTCAGGGGGGAGTCTCAGACTCTGAGCTCCAGATACGGGCGAATCGCTGGGGACTCGGACCCAAACGGGAGAAGCGGGAGTGTCTGGCATCAGTTGGAAGGCAGCTTTCCCTCCGAGGTTTGCAGCGGTTCCGGGGGTTCTGAGAAGGGAATATAGTCAATAATATTGTAATAACTATGTATGGTGTCAGGTGGGTACTAGTTTTTTAAAAAATTACTTCATTAGTTATATAAATGTCTAATCACTGGATTGTACACCTGGAACTAATACAATATTTTTTTCAACTGTAATTGAAAAATTACAAAAATTATTTTTAAAAACGTTATTTTATCTGGATTCTTCACTAAGGAAAGTCTATGATGTGAGGCGAGTGAACAAGACCACCACCTTTTGTACATTCAAAATTATGTTTGGGCCCTAACCGGTTTGGCTCAGTGGACAGAGCGCCGGCCTGCGGACTAACGGGTCTCAGGTTCGATTCCGGTCAAGGACATGTACCTTGGTTGCGGGCACATCTCCAGTAGCAGGAGGCAGCTGATCGATGTTTCTTTCTCATCGATGTTTCTAACTCTCTATCCCTCTCCCTTCCTCTCTGTAAAAAAATCAATAAAATATATATTTTTTAAACATCATGTTTGGGGGGAAATGGGTGCATAAGAAAACAAGTACAAAAAAATAAGCAAAGTGCAAAACTTTCACTGCTTTCAAATGCCTGTAACGTGGTTATCATACCTAGGTTTGAAAATATTACTTCAAAAAGGTTGTCTTGAGACCAAGGAGTAAATCACCCTCCCAAAAAATATCAATTGAAGTGTTTTTGAGAACATGAAGGTCAGATGAGGAACACTGGAAAATTCCTGTTTGCATTTTTCTGCCCAAACACTGACTGAGACTTTTGGTCCATTTGGTAATTATTTCCCCAGTGACTTTTTAGTTCTCAGAAAGATAAAAGAGCTCCTGACTTTAACGCCAAACAGATGGCTGGGGTCTCTTTTGCCATCATCTATGCTTGCTCTGCCTGCCGTCCCCAGTTATCCCAGACAGCGAAAGGCACAGACCTGAGATAGGAGGGGAAGCAAGATTGGGCTTCAGGGCGCTTTCAGGGGCCAGGAGCATCGACGTGTCAGCTCAAATGCCACAGGAATGCCCTTTCCAGCTGTGTGCCTGCTCACACAGCTGTGCTTCCGCCACGAGGGTCCACATGGAGGTCTTGTGTGTAAAGTTTGTTCCCCCACGTCCTGCGTGGTCCAGGGTTCAGGATCTGGAAGAGGAGCCGCACACAAATGAAAGAGAAGAGACAAGAGATAATTTGGAAATACTGGGGGGCCAGGCGGGCAAGTCCAACTCAAGGGGAAGGACTTCCACTGGTGCTCAGGCCTCGCCAACCTTTTATTGGTTTGGGATACACCCATAGCCCTTAGGCAGGCAATTTCCAGTAACAGGCAGACTAGCCCATCAGCAAGGATTTACATAATAATAAATGGGGAAGTTGCTTCAGCTACCATTGTCTGGACTAACAGTGGGTGCACAGCTCTGACCTTTGCCAGGCCTTCAAGGGTCACCAGCCTTCCGGGTTCCTTGTCCACACCTCTCTGCTAGTGAAGACAATAGGTGGCTTCCCACAGTCCTGGAGTGTTTCCTAAAGGAAAACGCCACGTTCCAGACTTGGAAATAACTGGACAGTTAAGTGGACTAGAGATGGAGTTGGAAGAAATAGGTGTGTCTTTCTGTATTTTACTATATTTTCTATTTTTCTTTGCTGGGACACGGAAGGTGATAAGTTAAAGGGGGTCTGTGCACACACTCCTCTTCTCCCAGATCCCTGCCTGAGACCCCAAGAATTCCCTCTCCGGGCTCCAGTCCCGGGCCGTGGCCAGGGAGCATCACTCACCACCACCACACCCAGCATCTGCATGGCTTGGCCTCCCAGGGGACAGCCACTCCTCGCACAAGGCCCGTTGCTTCTCCAAAAAGCAATGTCAGACCCAGGGAAGATACGCCCCTTAAAGTCGGTCTAGGAAACACCTTCCCTTCTTTGGCGGCTGCTCCTCAGAAAAACGTAGGTAGAAAAGGTGTTATTGCACTTAATAACCTCTTGCTTTCTTTTTATGGAAGATGCAAATTCAGTGTAAAAACATGTATTGTGAGCCAATGTGGATGGAGCCCAGTGCAATTCAAACGTGCCCCACCGTGCTGGGTGCTGGGAAGACCGTCCCGGAGAGGACAGACCTGGCGCCTGCTGTTTCTGAAGCTTTTGCCAAGTGAGGCGTAGAGTTAGATGAGCAGACAGAGCAGAATTGGCGAAAAATAAAAGAGATCATGGATGTGACACTTTGCTCTGCACGCACAATAGTGTACATTACTGCCCGGCCAGCGTGGCTCAGTGGTTGAGTGTCAATCAATGAACCAGAAGGTCACGGTTTGATTCCCAGTCAGGGCACACGCCCAGGTTGTGGGCCCGAACCCTGGTGTGGGGCATGAAGGAGGCAGCTGACCAATGATTCTCTCTCATCATTGATGTTTCTATCTATCTCTCTCTCCCTTCCTCTCTGAAATGAATAGAGATATATTTAAATATATGTATGTATTTTAAATAGTGTACATTCCTGAGTCTCACTCAGCAGGGCAGGAAGGCCAGAGGCAGGCTCTTCACGGGGAGGGAGTGAGAAAGGGCTGGAGCACAGAACAATGTGGGAAGATGAGGCTGTAGAGAGTGGCAGGTGGTTAAAAACATCCTTCACCCTGTGTGTCCCTGGTGGCTGGTGCTGCTCCCCAGGTTCCTCTGGTACCAGGAAAGTCACCCACTGCTGCAGTCCCTGTACCTCATAACAGGTACAACAAAACAAAAAGGGAGCCCACTGTATGGGAGAACATATTTGGCAATGATACATCTGATAAAGGGTTAATATCCAAAACATATAAGGAACTCATACAACTTAACAGAAGGAAGACAAACAATCCGATTAAAAGTGGGCAAAGGACCTAAATAGAGACTTCTCCAAAGCAGACATACAGAAGGCCAAGAGTCATATGAAAAATGCTCCAAGTCACTGATCACCTGAGAGATACAAATTAAAACGACAATGAAAGCCCAACTGGTGTGGCTCAGTGGTTGAGCATCAACCTATGAACCAGGAGTTCGGGGTTCAATTTCAGGTCAGGGCACATGCTGGGGTTGCACGGTCCCCAGTGGGAAATGTGCAGGAGTCAGCCAATCAATGATTCTCTCTTATCATTGATGTTTCTGTCTCTTTCTCTCTCTCTTCTTCTCTGAAACCAATAAAAATATATTTATAAAAAACAAACAAAAAACAACTGACAATGAGTTA